CAACCGCACTTGCAAATTTTCTGTGTGGTTTACAGCATTACACAATTACCTTTTATTCCTAGTGCTACACTTTGGGTCTGGAGTGGCTCTCAAAGGTCCCTGCTGAAGATGAGGTCCCAGGTAGGTGTGACTGGGATGTGGTAGAGTCTTGAGGAGGTAGGGCCTAACAGGAGGTCTTTGGGCTGCTGGGGACATGCCCCTAAAAGACAGAATCTCCCAGTATTAAGGAGATGGAAGCAGGAGGATTTCAAGTTTGGGCCTAGTGTGGTCTATACTGGGAGATCCTGTCTCACAAAAGAAAAGGTATGGTGGGCTCTGGTCTGTTGCTTGCTGGTGATATGGTGAGTAGAGTTGTCTGGTATGTGCCCCAAAGTAACAGGGCCAGTGGACTGCAGACTGAAACTGCTCAAATGGAGTCTTAGCCAACCTCTTTCTGCGTTCATGGGGATAACTGTAAGAGCCCTCTTCCAGCTGTTAGATGATGTCTTTCCTAGCAAGCCACCTTTATTTATTTTTTTAAAGATTTTATTTATTAATTATGTATACAACATTCTGCTTCCATGTATATCTGCACACCAGAAGAGGGCACCAGATCTCATTACAGATGGTTGTGAGCCACCATGTGGTTGCTGGGAATTGAACTCAGGTCCTCTGGAAGAGCAGTCAGTGCTCTTAACCTCTGAGCCATCTCTCCAGTCTAGCCGCCTTTAGATTCTGGAATAAATCCACCTTGACCCAGATGTAACTCCTTCCTTCCTTCCTTCCTTCCTTCCTTCCTTCCTTTCCCTGCATCCTTCCTCCCTGCCGTCTTTCCCTCCCTCCCTCCTTTTTTTTGAAACACCCTATCTCACTCATGTATCTGAGGTTGGCCCTGAACTTGCTATGTAACCTTTGAAGACTGAGCCTCCTGCCTCCACATCCCAAACACTGGGATTATAGACGTTTCTGGGGGTGCTGGGATTGAACCTGGAGCTTCAGGAACAGCAGGCAAGAAAGCACTCTCCTGAGCCACACTCCTAGCCCAGAGGTGTCTGCACAGTTAGAACATCTTTGCTAGTCAGGTTTCATTTCTCATCTGGAGGGCAGCTGATCTGCTCAATGCTTAGTCTGCCCTTTGTGTGGTTTTGGAATCACGGTTACAAGGCTTTCCAAAACACCAGAGGGAGTTGTCTCTTTCCCTATTTCTGGAAGAGGTCATAACAGTTTAATCACTTTCTTGAAAGCTTTGTAGGACTTTTTTTTTTTTTAATGGGCTGTCTCATCTTATTTTCTCTCTCTCTTCTTAAAAGTTATTTATTTTTATGTACATTGTGTTTTACCTGCATGTATGTCTGTGTGGGAGTGCTAGATCTGCTGGAACTGGAGTTATAGACAGTTATAAGCTGCCATGTGTGTGATGGGAATTGAACTCAGGTCCTCCGGAAAGCTTCAAAGGACTTTGTAATGGTATCTAGCCCTGGCATTATTCTTATGTGTATTTATATATGTAAAATGCGACAAACATGCCCCAGAGTGCATGGACTTGAAATGTTCAGTTGCATGAACATTTGGGCAATAAATCAACAGATAAACATGACCGGGGCCTCCTAGGACAAGACAGGAGCCATCACTACAGTGTAGGAACCTTTGAATTGCCTGATGTCACAGCCACTCCCTGCTGCAGGACGGAACTAGTGTCTTGGTTTTCATGGTATTCCCTAACTTGCTCTCCTTTGAAAATTCACCACTTAATTATTCGGTCCTTATAGTACAACTGTTTTTAATTTCAGGGATTTTCAGAGTCTGTGCTTTGTAATCTCAATGTAAGGTTGTGTTTATGCAGTTACATGTTGTGTATGTAAAGAACTGTGGACAGTAACTTATCTACTGATACAGACAGGGCCTTCCCACTTGGTAATAACATGAACAATGCTCTCCGGCTGGAGAGATGGCTCAGCTGTTAAAGGCTAGGCTCACAACCAAAATGAACAATACTCTCACACTCACTTGCTTGCTTCCTCTTCCTTCTGGCTATTTATTTATTTGGAGACAGGGTCTCTTGTAGCTCAGGCTGGCCTCAAGCTTTGTGGTAATCATCCTCTCAGGTGCTAGGATTACATCCAGAATCAAACTAGGTGTCTGGTGTGTGGCTTCAGGAAGTGATTTTTTTTTTTTTTAAAGACCTCGTGAATCCCAGGCTGGTCTCAGTCTCTTTATGGCATCCAGGATGATCCTACTTTTAACCCTGGTAACCTCACTTCTGAGTGCTGGGATTATAGGTGTATACAACAATGCAAGGTTTATGCAGCTCTGGGAATGGAGCTCATGGCTTTATTCAAGTTAGCACAAACTAGACCAACAGAGCCACATCCTCAACCCTAAGAACTGAGTTCTTTATTAAGCAATTGCCCTCAGCTGGGTGTGGTGGCTCACACTTCCATCCCAGCACTCCGGAGGCAGAGGCAGGATGACTGCCGTGAATCTGAGGCCAGCATAGACTGCAGAGCAAGACCCTGTCTCAAAATGGGGTGAGGGGTGGGGTTTGAGAGATGAGGATCCACCTAAGAGTTTGGTTTTCAGCATGCAAATCAGGCAGCTAACAACTACAAGTCCAGTTCAGGTATGGAACACCTCTGGTTTCCACATGCGCAGACACACACACACACACACACACACACACACACACACACACACACACACACACACACACACACTCAAACAACAAAAA